TCTACAAGTGTCCTTGTGCCAAACATGAGAGGCTAAATTGTCCATTAGACAATATGACAATAACACACCGGGTCCTCTCCGGGTGACTCAATACTATGATTTGAATAACTCAAGTAGAACAAAGTAACAACTGACATCGATCACCAAGTAACTTTACATAGGCTACCTATTTAATATAAGATCGGCTATCCACGTATGCATATCGATACACACGGCCGCGCACATGAATTAAGGAGAGGGTCGATATAAGGCCGGTGACAGTGTTGCACATCATCACATGATGTGGCGGGCAAGCACTGCTGTTGGTAAGCCGTTAGGGGAAGTTAGGAAAGATTCGTCGAGAGAAAAAAAAACATAAAGCAACTATCAAACGATATTATTTTAACATGTTTTTATGACTACGACGACTGTACCGAGTGCTAGGGCGGATCATCCTTATCGTTATCATCATCGTCATCCTCTCATCATTATCATCATCATCTTCATCATTATCATCTTCATCATTATCATCATCATTATTTAATCATCATCTCTATTTTATTTATTTCGAATAATCGTCCAACAGGAAACAAAAACAGACATCTAAAATATTACTATTATCATCATCATCATCATCGTCGTCGTCGTCGTCGTCATCATCATCTCCATCGTCATCGTCATCATCATAGTTATACGCCTACTGTTACTCTTCGTTGCCGTCAACGGAATGCGAATACAAGATACAAGGTAGACCTAAAATTTACTGTCTCCAATAAAAACGAAGAAATGACAAAGCTCGCAAAAAATTCCACAATAAAAATACACTACACAAATTAATAAAGACAAAAAAAGTATTTAGGCCTACAATTCCAAAAAAGAAAACATTGATAAAAGCACAAAACATTTTAAATTATAAAATGCAGAATTAATCTATTCTATTTATTATTTATATAGTGAATTTCCTTGCAAATACATAAGGCTAAAAGCGCACGTAGACCCAAATTTAACAAACAGGGAGACCGCATCTTTGAGCCATGACAGTTTTAATCTTTCTCTATACTATGTCTGTCGGGATGTTGCCTTGTACCGGTATGTCGCGAAACTTATGGCACCACCACTGGTATGATGGATGAAAATGGTGTAAACAATTATTTGTGAGGAAATCATTGATTGAACTTCATCTTCTATCTGTCTACCACTTAGTCAATTGTCACCACATGTTTCATCAATAGCTATTTTTATGGCTGTCGACATTAAAGCGGTGTTATTGACATTGATTCTCCAATGATAATCAATCAAATATTACAACTGGAAATATGGTATGTTCGCCCAGGCGATTCATTTCGAATTGCAATCATCAGACGAAATAATATTAAAATCGAATAAAACTTTCAGAACTAGGCTTATAACTTGTTAATAGAGCGATGTGAAGCTCTATCCACACTATCAAATTTACTTTGACAAAAAAATGTGACAAGCCCATATATAGTAATGCTATGCCTATATATGGTCATGGTGTGATGTCATCATGATCATATATGGGCATATCACACTTTTTTGTCACACAAAATTTGATAGTGTAGACAGAGCTTAAAAGCAAAATTGGAATCAAATTATTGAGTAATTGTGATATCAAAAATAACAAAAGGAATAAAAATGACGAATGGGAAAGGCAGAATAGAAAAATAATAGCCAAACTACCAACCACTACCGTATCAAACTCGGATAGATTGGGTAGGCCTATAGGTCTATAGGCAGTGGCTCTAGGATATATTTTCTGGGGGTTGGGGGGCTAAGTTTTCCGACAAAGGGACTTGAGCTCGTAGGCCAGAGATGGGGGGAATGGTTTGAGAGGGGATTCCCCCTCCCAAATGAGATTTTTTAAAGAATAGTAACCTCTGGGTGGCCGGAATTGGCACTCTCCGACTGTGACATGTTGGCTTGGTGTGGGCCTATTTAGATATTTTTTTATGGTCTGACTGCCCGACCGAGGGCTTGACCTGTTTGCTAGGAGATTAATCCTCCTTGCCCCCACCCCTGCTGGTCACATCACAAAAATTTGTCACATAGAATTTTGATATGGACACAGCTTTAAATGAGTAAATGAGTAGTTCTCGTATCAGAATGGAAGCATCTTTAACCATCAACCTCTCTACTCTATAAGCCTGGAAATTTTTAAACCAAAGCAATGGAGGAAAAATACACAGTACAAACTACCTCAATATGTAAGGAATTGATTAAACCCGATTTAAGTATCACATATAGATACAATATATTTTAATATTAATACAATTCAATTACATATGCCATGAATAAGATTGCTTTTCAATTTTGAGTCCATTAGGATATAAGAAATCATATTATTGGCTTAAAACACTAAGAGTAGGCTGGCAATCTAGTCCACAAATGCGACATGATGGAGAGTAACTAGGGCAGAGTGTCACCCTTTATCCCGCCAAGCACAGTCTACCAAATCTTATTGAAAATTATATTACGAAGAACAAAAATGGATATTCGATATCTCGAGAGCTGGCCTATCATTCGTTAGACATTTTAAAACAATAAAGGTACCGTAATATAGGCAAATTTCATGATACATTTCGATTTAAATATTCACAGTGAATAGAGATTACTTTTTTTTGATAGATAATTACGGTACCGGTATTAATTAAATCGTGATATTAATGATGATAAAACGATAAACATATGATAATAAAATTAAGCTTAACAATAATGATAATAATACTAACAATTATGATAACGAATAAGAGACAGATATATATATATACAGGCCAACATATTATATACTTGTATTTAAAACTTGTAAAACTTGCAATAGGCCTATCTATTAAAGTCCTTAGTGTGATAATAGGCCTATGTTAATAAAGAATTGACAATAAAATAATCGATAATAGGAAGGTAATAATAATTATGAAGTAATAATGACATTGTTAACAGCAACAGCTCAGTTCGTTCACACTATTGTTATCAACTGAATATCATCAGAAGTTGAATGAGAGTTCGCACACAACGCAACATTTGCAGACGATTGAGTCCAGCGGCGGGAACGCCGTTCATGTGTTCTCAAAAGACAATCATTTGAATAATACAAATTAATATTGAATTAATGCAAAACATAATCATAGTTATCCACCGCGTAGAATTCATGATATTCCAACCTCAACTTCAATCCGTAACATATGGTGAAGCTGGAATTATTAAGCCATACCATAATTGTTATTCCTACGTTAGTGTTGATTAGAAACGCACAAAGCCGAAAGTGGGTGAAGGTACTCTGGAAAAGTTTGATACGTCAATGTATTGTTTAAATTTATTTGCAGAAATTACATTTCAACTATTTTGCTTTCCATAAGCAGAACATGCCATCTAGGCCAAATGGAAAAATATATTGGAACTACGTGTGTCTATTACACCAATAAAACAGAATATGAAACCTACGAATATGATGTACGGTATTGTATTTTAAATTTTTATTTATCTTGTTATTTTCTTCCTTACACACTATAATTTATATTGCCATTGTTTTGTATTGTAAATGTTGGTCGCATAATTAAATGAAACAAAATGTATGAAAATGTTTTCTCTGTTAATTTATCATTATACCAACCGGATCGATAATTTTCGATTGTCATTGCAAGCGCTGTGTCCCTAAGCAGCAACGTCACAATATAGACACATTTATTTTCCTATTGTTCATTTCTTACAGTACACTGTCATCATGAGAAAAATACTTAAAACATAGAGCAGTCGCGCTAGGGTTTAACTATTTTCATATTCAGGCCGAAGTTTGATTTGGTTAATCGCTGTTCTAGTTTTACATAACTAGGACCAACTGACCGGTACTGTAAGATTAAATTATCAAAGTCGTTAGCGAAACCTATACCACACAAAAACCAAGTGGTCCACTGATTATATTTAGATAATAATGATCATGCAGACTCCAAAAAGACTAAGAGAAGCCATAGTGATTAAATATTTCGTTCTTTATTCGAACATCATCAGGAATGAACATAATTTTTTTCCATGTATCATGATATGAAAAACTTTTTTTTATATTCAGTCTTTGGTTTGGCGTAAAATGTAATTTGACCTTGTTTCATATAATATATGTTCACGTTCATGAAACCGGGTTCTTAAGTAGGATGGTGCTAAATTATTCATTATCTTATACATTGTTACAGCTTCATTGACATATTGTTTTTTTTTCTATCTAATTTTGGCCAATTTAAGTCTCTTAGTGCCTGTGAACTGTAATCGTATCTGGACTTTCGAGTTATTATTTTCTGTAGTTCTGTTGTCTAACATTTCAAATGTCCTGGCCGCAATAAAGATTATATTGGGAAAACGGACAGATGTCTAACAATTAGAATAAAAGAACATTCAACAGGACCTAATAGTGTTTTATATTTGACCACTAAGTTCATGTGATGGTTTTCAACATATCATAACCATGCATAATTTAGCTATTAATGGTGATTATGATGATGCTCAGGGTTCTAATTTTCATTCTTTAATATCCAATAATATTAATGTTATTGACTTTTAAGACACTGGTCTGAATTATTATTTAAGGAAGCCCTGGCTATTTAGATGCTATAAACCATGTTTAAATACCGGATTAAAAGCATCAAAAGAACTTGCACTGTACAACTAGCCATTAACATCTAGCTTATTTATTTATTTATATTAATAATGTGTTAACACTATATCAAGATTGCTTTTGTTTTAAGGTATGTTGTTTATTCATTAATAATATTGTCACACCTTGTTTTACTTGATTGGTCAATTTTACCGGTTTCTCGCTTTTGATTGGTTAGTTAAGTTACTTCAAGTATATGGTCCCTATGGACAAAATTATGTTCATTCCTGAGAATCCTGATGATGTTCGAATAAAGAACGAAATAATGAATCAATTTGGCTTCTCTTAGTCTGTTTATATTCTGCATGATCTTATATTATACGGTACCACACATTTACATAAATAATGAAACAGAGACTCATTTAAATTTTATGCCTATTATTTTTATTTGTTGTTAATGTACATGGCCTGTTTCGTGCACTCCTTTAATGTTACAATAAAACCAGGAAAACCATTATACGATTCGTTAATACAATAGTTACCGATTCTTAATATGATTTAAACTTAAATACAAAAACAAATAGTGGAAATTACTGTTTCCAATAAATAAAGATAACGTTATTGCATAGAGAAAATATTCTATTTTCTCTATGGTTATCTAAATGGACTTAACGACGTGTGGTCGGTATATATCGGGAGTGTACCGGTTAATTATGATTAATGGATTATTGGAAAGTGTGTTGTCTAGACTAAGTTCATGAAAAGTTCATAAAAATAATGGTATCGCACCAGCACAATACAGCCTCATTTTAATTGTACCACACTGCAGATTCTGTACGATAGAACTACGTGTAACTTGGTCTTTGAATATAATTTTAGTGTGAGCATGTAAATTTAAATGCTCTCACAGTCGGGTTCTAAAGGCGACGTGAACAGAATAAAAAAAAAACAAACAAAACAAAAACAAAAACGAAAGGACGAATGCGGCACTTTTCTCCATTAACTTGGTCACCACAGACTGCCGAGGAACATAAGACGCACATAGTCAACCGCGCATGCTCTCGTCGTCTGATTTCTAGGAAGTAGTTATTAAAGTTGAATTTGTGAACAGCACAAAATGGTCAGTCATGAAAATATGTTTTGGGCCTTAACATAATAAAAGAATTGTTACACAAAAAGGAAAACACACACTTTCTACCAACTAAAACAATAAATAAGATTCATAATGTACACACTGGCATGTTTTCTCCCGTAGGTGAAACTGTACCAATTTGTTCAATAAAGTAAAATTAAAGATACCTCCACATTATATACTTAAAGTTGTACTTTAGTTTGTTTTCTCTTAAATTGCACACATAGATTTTACGGATTAACACACATTTGAAATTGTCATTCCTAAAATATCAATATTTTGTTAGGTAAACCATTAATGTATAATACTCTTAGGACGATTTTTGCACTAAACTACAAACTTAAAAAACTCAAATAGAATGACATTTTACATATAAGATCTTATTTTCCCATGTTACGTTTTTGTATTGAATTTAATTTACATCCAGTAATTCTGTGAAAAAGCACCGAGGTAGAGCTTTTTAACAAAATGTTGCAAATATTATATCTTACTATTATCACACAAATTTATCGCCTTCAGTCGATTCTTGGGTAGATTATTACAAAGTGGATTTACATTTTACCTTTAATAAATGAAATCACATAAATTATCATCAAAATAGTTTGAGTTATGAGTAAATATAGGCAAGATGGAGAATTTACCATTACAAAATCACAGAGATAGGCCTACATTAACAATACATATATACGCCTAATATTCATTTGGTATATTATGTTATAATAACATTATTGTCAGTAATCAGTCATGAAATTAACCATGATATGCATATTGAATTAATAAACATCATATATTACACAAGAAGATTTATGATACCCATGATAAAATACACAGGTTTTTTTAATTATAGGCCCAAAAAGTTTCTTATATGATAACCTGTCATTATGTTATGTATTTAGTTGTACCGTATATTACAGTTAATGGATATGTACCCAAGTTTTTCCCTAAATTTAGTCTCCCATCACTATGGAAGTTTTCCGAGTTCCAATCAAACTTAACTAATAAGCAATCAGGACATCGCTAAGAATATGCGCTTATCCCACAAACGCACGTCTTCGTGTATGCTTACAATATCTTTATGTGTGAGCTTAGAAACAATATACAAGTCGCAGGGCTTAGCGGAGAGGTTCACGTTTTAGTCATGTGACTGCACACTGCCAAGCAGCTTCTGAGCCCTTAACGTAGATGTAACCTTTAGCAACATGCTTTATGGCATCCAATCACAGACTAGAGAGTTACAGGATGTTTACAGGTGGGGTCCAAAGTAAATAATGAAACAAACTAATAAATGACCCACACCATGAAACTGAACGAATATACAAGTACTGTAGGCCCAGTAGCCATAGTAGTACTATAGGCCTAATAAGATCAATGATATAAATACCAATAATATTTATTATTTCAATAATAAATAACAAAAATAATAATAATAATAATAACAATAATAATAATAATAATAATAATAATAATAATAATAATAATAATAATAATAATAATAAACAATCATGATAAAACAAGAAACCTTGTCAGTAATTTTCTCATTAATATCATTATGTTTTGATTACAGCTGTATATACAAAGTTAAAAATAAAGGAATTACTGAATGTTAATAAGATATAATGCACAGCTCAAAGGTGATGCATTAAAGAAGGCACAATAATGTTACCTGTGAAAATAGATCAATTTATTGGATTATAAAATGTCCAACAAACCAATTTGTCACCAGGTCTAAGCACCAGGGATAAAAACGACAGTTTGATGCAAAGCAGAAAGGGTGTTAGAAAATGAATTAAAGGGAAAAGAAAAAATAAAAACGATATGCTGCTCCTAGCAATCAATATAAACCTAAAACATTAAAAATATATTTGCATCTCTTGGCAGAAATTGCATTACAACTTTCTGTATTGTTATTATTAGATATGTAGAACTTGGAAGTAGAGCTTTAACAGTGTTTGTGAAAACAGAAGATTTTTTTTCATTGACTACTTTCAAAATATTTAGTAACATATACAAAATTGTCTATATGAATTCACAGTCAATCAATACATCAATGGCGCCATCTTTGTTACTATAACACAAAACCTCAATATTTCTAGGCAAAATGTAATTTAAATAAATAATTTTCTATAATGAAGTAAAATTGTATTTAATACAAGATTTATATGTTAATGATACCGAAGACCAAAGCAAAGATAATTACATTTAAAAGAAATTTGTTAAATTAATCTCAATCAAAATTGTAAATAAAATATAGAATAAATATGTACATTCCAATAACCAAAATGTAATTTTAACTGAATAGTTACTCAAGTTACTTCTAAATCAAATTTCAGGAAAATGCATCAAGGTACCAATGATAGTGGTAAAGACAAAATTGTACAAGAAAAAAAGGTATATATTATTATTTAAAGGAAATTAAGATAAAAAAATAATTGTAATATTATAATATAATACAATATTGATATTTCTCAAAATTATATATTCAATATAGAATATATTTATTTTAACTGCGCCTTTGAAAGTGTATAACATCTCAGGGCGTTTATTTGTGGAAGGCGTTTATTCAAAATGGGGCTTTTATTCGAATAAATACGGTATATATTAATTGATAGCCATTTCTGAGGTACACCATCAAACAGATGAATGCAATAGATCCTTAGTAGAACTATAGAGCACACCCAACCTCACCACAGTGCTGACATGGGCAATGATTCGACACCAGCAAACCATTCAAGTAGGGGCGGCACTGGTGACGAAACGCCATGTAGTTACATGTATGTAACATGCAACATGAATTTACATGTTGTATAAGAAATTCACTTTCTAGTTTTTCTATATATACACAACTTTATGTGTACAACAAATTGTTAAGGTGGAAATCTTATAAGCTTTTAAAAACTTACTTTTTAAAAGCAAAAGTAAATTTTTTTTGTGTTATTTTATAATTTGTCATCAGCCAAAACAATGGAAGTGGATGCAATCATACTTCCATTTGATCTACAACTGACTAACAACACTAAATCAAAGCTACCAGTTGAGTTACATATAGAAACACAAAGAGTAGCGTTTATTCGTTGTTATGGTATCATTTAGCAGTTTTTGCTAGAGGACATATTCACTGCAGCACGCATGAGTCCTTGTTGCTTAACGGTAGACTCTTCCTCTGAAAAATATTCTGTATATGCTCCTGTTCCTCTTCAGCCCTGTAAAAAGACAAAAATCAACAGAATGTAATACTTTTGCTCATCACTACAAAAATGCTTTGTGTTGCAGAAGAAAATCATGTCTTCTCAAAAAACTTGAATGTATGCCCTCTGAACCTAAAAAAATCCTGAGAAAAGTAAGTGGAAGGGGCTTACAACAGAGTTCTGGTCCACCCGATCTGATGCCATGAACTAGATTTTCAATTAGTAGTACTTACCAGCAGTGTACACTATGAATGAATGTAATCCCTCTTTAGCAGAACACAGCTAAAGTAACCAACAATAATAATGTTCTGATGGAGTTGCTATGATTTATTTATTTTGTATATAAGAAGCCCGAATGAAGCAAATGCTTCATTATTGTTCGTTTGAAAAATAAAATTGTTGTAACACTTAATTTGCATAAATTATCCTACAGTACTTTTGTAAAATGATATCTTTTCCTCATTTCACAAAATAGCATATTTCAAATTAAGTATTTGATTGAATAGTTCCCTTTTGAAAGAAATGCAAAAAATAATGATCTTCAACGATAAAAACAATAAAATAATTATTAAGAATAATTAATAAGTAATATAATTGTTTCAAAATAGTACGGAGGAGCGAAATGATTCAGACTCGGAGCTGAATGACTTACTCTCTTTCCTGCTCATCAAGCTGTTGAACAAGATCATTTCGTTTATCTACAATAATAACAAGCTCCTCTAGAAGCAATTCTTCGCGTCGCTTCTCTGCTTCTGATTTCTGACATTCTAAGTAGAAGGAAAAAAAATCCAATGAAAATCAGAAACACCGCATTGGCTGTTATTTTATATATTTTATATCTAAATAAATTTCAGTGAATGGTTAAGTTGAATTGAAATGGAAGTGTAATGCTTCAATTATAAAATAACTGTAATTAAAAGGTATGAAAATTGTCTGCATAATACTTCATTAATTATTTATGATTTATCCAAAAAAAAAAACACATATGAAATTAAAATACACACTTCTACATAATTGAAAAATAAATGCACTGTAACATTTTAACATAATTTTAAATTGCCACTGTAATTTACTTATATCTTTTTTACAAATAATTTCTAAACAATTTTACAAAACATAACATACCAAATTAAATTGTTTTATTTATAAATAACAATATATACATAAATAACTCTGCTCACACATTAAAACGTATACAGAGTATATTCTATTATGTAATAGCAAAGTTTGTTATATT